GGTATCACTGATGTAAAACAAACTGTCTATGTTGAAATTTGGGAACTTTTGACATATGTACCCCTGTCAACCCATCACAAAGTTAGGATAACAAACTTAGAATGGTTCCCAGATGTCTTGATGAACCCTTGGTCATATTCTCTTGCTCTTTCTCCCCAACCCCTGTCCTCCTCAGAAACCACTGATCTGCTCTCCACCCTGTGCACCAGCCTGCATTTCCTACAAGTGTGCATCTGTGAAATCCTGTGTGCTGTTCCTTTTTCTGACTTCTCTTCCGTGGAGCAGTTGCTTTCAGGATTGCTGTTGTAGTGCTGGTTTATCCCCTGGCATTGCTGAATTGCTCCCTGTGTTTCAGATCCACCAAGGTTTTGCTCATCCACTCACCTCTTGATAGACATTTGGATGTTGGGTCATCTGCACTGTGGGGTCACCACAGATAAGCTGTTACCCACCTGTATTCAGGGGGATCCACATGGGCATGTATTTTCATTTCTCCTGGGTAGATATTGACAGGTGGGGTGACCTGGCCATCTGACAGGGGACATTTACTACTTAAGAAGTCACCCACCTGTGCTCCTGGGTTGTGCCATTTTCATGCCCACGGCATCAAGGGGGCCTCTAACTCCCACAAACTTGCCAACATTTGACACGCTCAGTCCTTCAGTGCTCGCAGCAGTAAATCACTGTGGTTTTAATTTACATTTCCCTAATGCCAAATGATGCTGAGTATCTTTTAATGTGTGTAACTGCCTAACTGCCTTCCATATATCTTCCTTTGTGATGTGATTGTTAAACTGTTTTGCCCAATTTACAGTTGTTTGTTACTGGTATATAGAATGAAACTGATTTTCTTATATTGATCTTGGATACTGGTATCTTTTAAAAATAATTGGTAGATTTTATGGGGTCTTCCATATAAACAATGGTGTCACCTAAAATAAACCTGGTTTTCATTTCTTCCTTTCCAATCTGCAGGCTTTGATCCTCTTTTTCCTGCATGATTTCACTGGTTAGAGAATCCTGAATGGCGCTGATCAAGGAGGTTCTCTGGAGCCTCCTGGTCATGGGGGTCGTCTGGTCTTCATCATTGGCTGAAGTTAGGTGCTGGGTGGGCTCCTTTCTCAGGCAGGGTGCAGGAGAAAGTTCTCAGTTCCTTTTTTGCGGAGTGTTTTTATCAACAATGTCTGTCAGATTTCATTCTACGACCTTGAGATGATCTTAATTTTTCTTCTTAGTCTATGAATATGATAAATTACATTTGATTGATTTCCAAATGTTAAACCAACCTTCCCTTTCTGGGCTAAGCCCCATTAGGCCATAATGTATTATTCATTTATGTAATTTTATATTCAACTTGCAAAAATTTTGTTAAAAGTTTTTGCATATTTATTAATGAGGGATATTGGTCCCTAGTTCATGTAGTTTGCAGTCTTCGGCTGGTTCCTTTTCAGGGAGCTTTACTTGTGCGAATCCAATTCACTTGGCTGGAATAGGCTCTTAGAGTCCTCTTCCGTCCCATGTCAGTTTGGTATTTGCAAAAAATTGCTTATGTCATTTCCTCATTCCCTAATGCTGTAGGATTTTGGTCATGTCATCTATTTATTCCAATATGAGTAAGTCGTTTTTCTTTTTCTCCCTCAATCAATCTTTTGATGAGTTTATCAATTTTGTTAAAGGGCTATTTTTTTTACTTTATTTTCTACAATTATCTATAATCCATTTTGTTAAATTTTGCTCTTACTTTGAGAATTGTCTTCTTTTAGCTTACTTTAATTTCAGATTACTTGATTTTTTTCTAGCTTTTTAATACAGCCACATGGATTCCTGACTTGGAGCCTTTGAAGACTCTTTCTAGTATCAGTGTTTAAAGCTGTAAGTTTCTTCTCTATGTCTGATTTGGCTGCTAAATGCAACTGGATATCTTGTATGTTTATTATTATTTAGTTTGAAATATTTATAATTCCCTTTTTAACTTTTTCCTCAATCCATAGTCTATGCACAGGCATACTCTTCCACCTCCAAATTATTGAGGTATTTGAAAGGTAACTTTTTGTTCTATGTTTTGGCTTTGATTCACTGTGGTTAAAATGCCTCCGACGTGGATCCCAGTCACTTCCTGTGTATGGAGATGTGCTCATCGCCAGCACGTGGCTTCTTTGTGGTGTCCCCTTGATGCAGGTGGAAAGGAGCTGCTGGTACCGACTGTCTTCTTTGGTACCCGTCAGCTCACTGCTGGACATGTGAGCTCGGCCGTCCGGACACCACCTGCTGCTCCCTGAGAGGGGATGGTTGATTGGCCGTTTCTCCCGGTTTTCTTTTCCTGTGCTGGGGAGCACTATGATTGGGAGCACACACGCTGATGATTGCTGTGTCCTCACGACATTGTGTTTTTTTAATCTCTGGCAAGGCAATTTTTCTTACAGTCAGTTTTGTTCTAAGGCACACGTAGCCAAGGATGTTTTGCCTTGTCAGTTCCTCCTGCTTACAGTGACTCTTTGTACAGCTTCTGTTTTGCCTTTTATGATCAACTCTTAGTGTTTTGCGTTGTGTGACTGTTCTCGACATGATGGACGTAGGTCTTGCAGAGACACTGTTTAGCTGGAGTTTTTCACCCATTTACACCCAATGTAAACAGTATGTGGTTGCATTTAGGTCTCTTGTTTTGCTTTTTTCTGCCTATTCCGTCAGTTTTGAGGACAAGATGGGAGCAAACATGTTGCTTTACATGATTGTTGTTGGGAAGATGGCAGAGCGTGGGTTTCTGTTCTGCATGCTCCAGAAACCACACAGTGGGGCCACCGAGGAGAGAGAGGTGTCATGATTGCATGAGATTGAGGTGAGTCAGGGAGTGAGCCCCCTAGAAATTGAGGTAGGTTGTGAGGGATCCTGGCTGACCATCATTGATCCCTTCATCATGGCTTAATTCAACACCAATGTGAGAGTTCCCTTGTGGAAAAAAAGGAAGCACTGCTCTTGTCCCAGAGCCCTGAGTCTCTTGTTGTTGACAGATCTGGGTCAAACAATCATTGTGACACTAGTGTTACAATAATGCACTAGAACAGGGCTGCAGAACAATAGAAAGGACCGATTCCTCCAGGGTCAAGTATCACCTTGACCTTGGGTAGGTGTGAGGTAGGTGCAAGGAATAGAGTGTCACCACCACTGGCCCTGGAGTTGGGACCTGAAGTCCGAGTGGGTTGAGCTGGGGAAGTGTGTGAATGGAGGGGAGGGTTCAGGCAGGGAAGCCGGATGTGAGAAGCTCTGTGGAAAGGCAGTGTGGCACACTGATGGCCTGAGTGGGTATTGGTGTGGCCAGAACACAGAGAGCATGCAGGGCACAAGGAAAGAGGGCAGCGTGGGGACTGTGCTGGGCTCTCGAGCTGCCATCGAGGTTCCTCTGACAGTGGAGCACTAGAAATGCACCCCATCTCTTGGTTGTGTGACGTGTTTCTCTTTAAATCATCAAGGCTGTCTTTGATGTAAGTAAGTAGAACTGATGGAGTTGGGTTAAAATGAATGATCAAGGCAATTCACAAAATGAGCCATTGCCAGTTTTCTTACAGTCAATTTTACTTCTGTTTGAGGGAAACACAGGTAATTAGAGAATATCAGGTGTGGCAGGCTTCTAGGAGGCTTCCCTTGAGCCCTGGGGCTCTCGGCAGACCAGACGTTCCAGCACAGACCTGTGTGGACAACGCAAACCATGCGTGCTGTGCACACACACTACGGAACCCTCCGTGGCGTTAGGGATGACAGGTGGGACTTCCCAGCTTCTGCATATGTACCTTCATCTTCCAGGAGGCTCTGTCAGGAGGAGTTTAAGTGCCAGTGCTGGGTGTTTGTGAATCTCCACCTACAGCATTAGTTGGGACACTGGAATATTAGGATAATGGGACTATTCGCTGAGTGCCTTCCAGTGTAGCCGTGGCACCTGGTATCTTGCTGTTAGTAGTGAAGGATGATAAGGGGAGTGTGACTAGGTGGAGCAAGAGGGAGTGCACAGGAGACAGCTGAGGCTGGTTGGGCAGCTGGAGAGTGCAAGGGAGGCGAGGTAGACATGGGTGGCAGGGTGGGGACAGGCCTGTTAGGGCTGGAGGGAGCCTTTTTCTTTTCACATTTAAACATTCTTTTTAAAATGTATATGCACTTTTTTTTTAACAAATAAGAAAAGTGGGTAAATGACAAAAGGCAAGCACAATTCTGCATTCCTACTTTTTCTCATTTCTAGTTCAACAAGTATTTCTTGAGCATGTATTATGTGCCAGGTACTGTGCTACAGGGGGGATGGTTGTCTCTGTCAACAAGAAAAAACAGCTCAGGAGGATTTTGGGAAAAGACAGAACTGTGCACATAGCAGTTGTCTTCATGGTTTTGAATCAATTCAGAGGAAAACTGAGGGCTCAGGGAGTACTGATTCACTGCTCCAGTCTGTGAGGCCCCTGTAGAGACACGGCATCCACCGCAGTTCTTTCTGTTTGGCTTTCTCTGTTGAGAGTTTAGAAGTGGGAGGAGCAGAACATGCCTGGGAAACTCTGCAGATAAATTCTTGAGCTGGAAATGCACATTACTAAATTCCTTAATACAAAAAATAATGCTTTAAATTGTACTTTGGACACGATGTCCACTTTTTTGGCTCAACAAACAAACCCGAAATTGTTTTTAGCTTTCTGCTCTGGCATGAACAAAGTTTTGCCTAAAACCCTTGGAGATTTGCTGGAAAAGATTTATTTCTGTGCATTCTGAAGAGCATGCCAAAATCCCGCTGCTTCGTGTTTTTCAAGACTCTTCTAAATTAAAATGCTAGTGCGCATGTGAGAGGGTAAATGTTGGGTTAGTCGTTGTGCACAGTAAATGTGCTTATTTCCAGGAAGAGAGGAGTGAGGGTGGTGCAAAGAGGCCAGGGCTCGGCCAAGGGGTTCTGGCTCTGAAGGGCTGGAGTCTGCTTTGCTCCTAAGCAAGTCCCTGTCTCTGTTGAATAAAAAGTCACACACACATAAAAGTCTGGTAATTTGGAGCTGCATTTAATCAATTTTACACTAAATTCTATCAGTTGACTGAACACAGCCAAAACCTCCTACTTCATCCACAAAAACAAGGAGACAAAACACTTGCAATGACAACAAAGTAAAATGACTTATCAATTAAGGATGCTCCAGGTACTTTGCAGCTTTGCTGATGGTCAGGATCAAAAGCACGAGCATTTGTGCAGAAACATGAAGACACGCGTTGAAAACTTGAAGAGCTGTTTTCTCTCAGATAAACTTGTTCAACGAAAGAAGTGTTATAAACAGCCAGGCATAGTGGTGCATGCCTGTAATTCCAGTGACTTGAGAGACTGAGGCAGGAGGAACCACAAGTTCAAGATCATCTTCAGCAACTCATCTAGGCACTGTCTCAAAATAACAAGAAATAAAAAGGGTTGGAGATGTGTCTCAGTGATTAAGCACCCCTGGATTCATCCAATCTTCAGTACCAAAGCAAATGTAAAAAGGGGTTTTGTACAAACATGTAACAATATATTTATCTTTCTGCATTGAATTTACTGATTGGAATATTTTTATACTCGTAATACAGATTTGAATTAAATATCCATACTGCATTGGATCTAAAAAAAATGTCATATACATAGTTTTCTAAAGTGTTGGACAGAATGAAAAAAAAAATCCAAACTTTTGTTCTGTTCAACTGTGGCAGTCGTGACAGATCCTTGGACGCGGAGAAGGGTTTTGCAACCACAAGTGCTTACAGCAAAGTCAAAATCCCTCGTGCCCTTCCCAAGACTGAGCTGATGGCCCAACCACAATGACTGATTGTCCCTTGGTAACAGAATTCCCCCTTGTTTATCTGATATGGCTACTCTCCTAATCACTGCACTTTATTTATTTATTTACATGTGGTAAGAATCTCTATCACACTGGAATGAAATGTGTGGAGGAAAACCAAGTTTTCAATGTGCGGAAGACCGCAGGACCACTGTCGTGTTCCCTGCCTGGATCCCGACCTGGGGCAGGTGAGTCTGAGCCCTTAGGCTATAGATGTAGGGCAGGTGGAGGCAGTGGAGAAGCCTAGGATGTTTTTCTTTGCCGCAGTCTGGCTGGGCACAAATCACGAGCCACTGAAGCAGGAACAAACTTTATTTTTAAACTGCAGGAAAACACTTCACACAGCTCCCGGGGAATCCTCCCGCGCCAGGAGGCTTGTCCAGGAACCCCCAGCCGGAAATATCTCTCCCGGAAATCCCTCCTCCTGCACTTCCCCAACCAATGGGAACTCTCGGGGAATCCCCGGAAATCCCCATGAGAACTCCAAAATAGTGCGAGAACTCAAAAGTTGCGGCAGAGGCGGATAGTAATGCCTTGCCTGTCAATCAATACTGTTGGCAAAATGCCAGGGGCCATACAGACTCGGCCGTGGCTCTCAGCATCTCCCCCTTTTTGTTTAATTAAACAACAAGCAATGTGGCTTAGGGACCGTGCCTGTTAGGCAGTCCAATTCAACATATGGTCCTTACCCGTCATCGGATGAACTGACCTCTAGGCGTCAGCCTCCTGTCTTAGGTTGGTACCACTGCAATTGGATCATACCCGTCACTGACTACCGGTCCAGCATACAGCCATACTTGTGGATAGGCCTTTGCACCAGTGGGGGGTGAGGTTCTTTGCCTCACCTCTGTTGGCCCCCAAATTTTAGACCATCACTAGTAGAAGGGAGGAGGATGCAAAATGCCATGACACTAAGCCAATTGAGGGCTCCTTTGAAAAATTGTACCACCGGTGACACCATCAGCAAAAATACTCCAGCACTACCACAATTCGCTGTACCAACAGATAGTTCACAATACATACAAATGATACATAGTCCAGGCAAGGTCTGCAAGCAATTCAAAGCAGAGGAATCTGTCAATATGTCCATTTCCTCCCAAAGTAAATCAACTCCTTAATTGAGCATTACTTGTTGAGTTATTATTCATTGATGCATCAGTTTTTACAGTTTGTTGTGATAACTATCGAAGAAGCTGTAGTTTGGTTTTATCTTTGTCTTCACCGGCACTGGGATGAAGATAGGAATTCTGGCAATGATGCTAAGAAAAAAATTATGTAACATTCCAACAGGCACTAAGAAAACAATTTTTTGAACAATTTACATTATCCTGAACAGAATTATTAAATATAATGAGAAGGAAAGGTGAAAGTAAACAAACAGATCTGTTAACCTCCTTATTTGTTCACATATTAAAACAATTTTCAACAGCTGTTTACCCAATCTAAATTAAACCATTAAAATCACATGAATAAAAAAATTCGGATCCATTTATTCATGAGCGCTCCTCATATATGATATATGGACATACACACATACAGACATACAACACAAAACAGAAGTGTGCACACATAACATACAACACATAAGACAATAGTAAAGGCCTTGTAGCTTTACCTAGGTGAAATCTCCATTGCAATGCTTAAAAACTCCACAGTCAAAAAATAAAACTGATCAGAAAAACATTAACCTAGGTCTGTATGAGCTCAAAAATAAAATAGAACTTTATGATGTGGGAAAAGGCAAATAATAAAATAAATATTGAAAAAAACATCCTGGTTAATCACCGTCGCAGATGTAAGAATAGCCAAACTGGAGTTCTGGATATCAGCTGTTATGGATTTGAGTCAAATCATCTTCCTTTTGGCCTGTAGAAATTGTTTTAGTTAATCTCTCTGGAATCCAAATCGGCTGCTGTTCTCCCTGTGGAAAAACACAAACAGAACCCCGACTCCAGACAATCACTGGGTCAGGACCTTTCCATTGTCCTGTTAGAATATCCTTCCAAAGTACCTTAGGCTTATGTACATTTTTTGGACACATATGCCTTTCCGCAGCACTAAGCCCTGAGGAATCCAAATTTAAAAAGTTTAGAGTAAAAAGGGTTATTTTAAGTTTATCTTTGGGTGACATATACCCCTTTCCAATTCCCTCTTTTTGCTTTAGTAAGTACATTTTAATAGTTTGATGAGCTCTTTCAACTATGCCTTGTCCCTGTGGATTGTATGGAATTCCTGTTATATGAGTAATGCCAAATGATGAGCAAAATTGTTTAAAAGAGGTAGAAATATAACCAGGACCATTATCTGTTTTTAACTGTTTTGGAACGCCCACAGTGGCAAAATTTTGTAAGCAATGAGCTATAACATCTTTAGTTTTTTCTCCGGAATGAAGGGAGCCCATCAAAAATCCGGAAGAAGTATCAACTGTAACATGCAAATATTTTAATTTTCCAAATTGTGGCAAGTGTGTGACGTCCATCTGCCAAATATGGTTAGGTATCAGTCCTCTAGGATTGACTCCAAGATTAACTTGTGGTAAAAAGGTCACACAATTTTGACATTGTTTTATTATTTGTCTAGCTTGTTCCTTAGTTATTTTAAAACGCTTTTGTAAAGTATTAGCATTGACATGGAACCTTTTATGAAAATGTGTAGCTTCTTCTAGTGTAGAGAAAATATGTATGTCATGTGTAGTTTTATCTGCTAAATCGTTGCCCAAACTAAGGGCTCCAGGCAATCCTGTATGTGCTCTGATATGTCCTATAAAGAATGGATCTTTTCTGTCCCAGATTACACTTTGTATAGCAGAAAACAAAGAGAAAACAGTAGAGGAAGGGGAAATCCTGCCAGCATCTTCAAGGGATACTATAGCATTAACTACATACTGACTATCAGAGAATAAATTAAATACAGAATCTTTAAACATCACAAAAGCTTGTAAAACTGCATTAAGCTCTACCTTTTGAGCTGATTGTTTGGGTACTAAAAATGTAAAAGTTTGATCAGGGGTAACTACTGCTGCTGTACCATTATGTGACCCATCAGTGAATACATTTGGAGCATTCATGATAGGGGTTTTTCTTGTCATTTTTGGAAAAACTACAGGATGCGAAGACCAAAAAGACAACAAAGGATTAGATGGTAAGTGATTATCAAATGAAACATTAGATTTACACATGATTATTGCCCAAGTATTTAACTCATTAGCTAACTCATCAATTTGATCCATAGTATATGGAGTAATAATTTTATTGGGAGAAATTCCAAACACTCCCTTTGCTGCTTTTATTCCTTTGAGTATTAATTGTCCTACAGCCTCAGGATACCTAGTAAGAATAGTGTTAGGAGAATAAGATAAATGTATCCACAATAATGGACCTTCTTGCCAAAATACTCCTGTAGGAATATTTTTTGTTGGTATTACAATAAATAATAAAGGCAAAGTTATATCAATTCTATCCAAATGCATATTTTCCATATATGTTTCAATAATTTTTAATGCCTTTCTTGCTTCAGGCGTTAACATGCGGGGTGAATTTGGATCTGATGGACCTTTTAGGATATCAAATAAAGGTCCCAACTCTCCTGTTGGTATGCCTAGATAAGGCCTTATCCAATTTATGTCTCCTAATAACTTTTGAAAGTCGTTAAGTGATTTGAGTTGATCTACTCGTATTTGAATTTTTGGTGGACGGACCATGGTTGAGGATAATAGAACTCCTAAATAATTAATTGGAAAATTTAATTGTACTTTATCTATTGCTATCTCTAGATTATAATTTTTTAATAAATTTGTAAGTGTGGCATAACATTCTAGCAATGTGTTTTTATCTTTGTGTGCTAACAATACATCATCCATATAGTGAAATATTTGTAGTTTAGGATTTTGATTTCTAAGTGGCTGGATTGCTTTGTTAACATAAATTTGACACATAGTTGGGCTGTTAGCCATCCCTTGAGGGAGTACTTTCCATTCATATCTCTGATCAGGACCTTCATGATTCAGTGCAGGGATAGTAAATGCAAAATGTGGACTATCCTCAGGATGAATTGGAATTGAAAAAAAACAATCTTTAATATCTATAGCTAAAACGTACCAGGTTTTTGGCAAAGCAGACAATTGAGGAATCCCTGATTGAGCAGGTCCCATAATAACCATCTCATTATTAATGGCTCTTAAATCTTGCAATAATCTCCATTTACCAGATTTCTTTTTAATGACAAAAATGGGAGTATTGTAAGGAGATACGGAAGGTTGTATATGTCCCTCCGCTAATTGTTGTTTGACCAGGTCATGGGCTGCTTGTATCTTTTCTTTAGTCAGGGGCCACTGAGGAACCCATACTGGTCTATCTGATTTCCAAGTAATTTTTATTGCCTCAGTGACCCCTTCTGAAAACCCAGTCCATGTCTATTTATTCCCTGATCTATCTGAATTGGTGCTGCTATGCCTTGTTCTCCTAATCTTTTTTCTTTCCTGAAACCTTGTCTAGCCCTAATAGTGGGCGCATTTGGATTGATGTTATTTGTTAATGTCAAACCTAATTGATCTAGGACATCTCGTCCCCATAAATTTATAGGAAGATGATCCAATACATATGGCTGTATAGTTCCTTCACATCCTTCAGGATCCTTCCAATCTAATACCATTGCACTTCTATGGGGATTAGTCGCCACTCCTAGGCCTCGAAGCGTTTGAGTGGCTTGTTGTAACGGCCAATGTTTTGGCCATTCTTGACGAGATATGATGCTAAGGTCTGCACCTGTATCCAGTAGTCCATTAAATTCATGTCCTTGAATATTTAGTTTTAGCATGGGACGAGAATCTAAATTTAAAGACAGCATAGCCCAATCTACACCTGTGGAGCCTAATCCCCTGGAACCTCTTTCTATAGTACTACTGGAAAATTTATCATGTAGGCTGGGTATTATTAATAACTGTGCTATTCTATCTCCTGGTGAAATTACTGATATACCCTTTGGAGAGCTAGCTATAATTTTTATTTCACCTTCATAATCGGGATCAATTACCCCGGGACTTATCATAAGTCCTTTTAGCGTAGAAGAACTGCGTCCTAACAATAAGCCTACTGTTCCTTGGGGAAGAGGTCCTTTTACTCCTGTGGGAATGATTTGAACTCCCATCTCTGGAGTTAGTACTGCTCTGGCGGAGGCGCAGATGTCCAACCCTGCGCTTCCTCTGGTTCGTCTGATGAGAGATCTGATGGATAATGTGTCCTGGGCACTACCCTGATGGTGTTGCTGGGTTCCTCCATGGTGTTTCTGGGTTCCTCCAGTGCCCCGTACATTTGTGGTCGTGGGCCCCGGAGCATTGGGCCCCCCTGTCCGTTTTTTGGCAATGGAGCTCGATGCCTTTCTCCACGATATCGTGGGTAAACACTTGGTCCTTGTCTGTTTTTTGATAACGGAATACCCTCTATGGTGGTTTGAGAACGGCATTCATTAGCCCAATGTTTCCCTCTACGGCATCGTGGGCAAATACCCGGTATTCTATTCGTTTGATATCTAGCTTTGTTAAACCCTCCTCCTATGGGGCAACTCCTTTTAAAATGTCCTGTTTGATCACAATTATAGCATGTTTTTGGCCTGGCATCTAAAGCCTGTTGTACTGCTGCTAAGACTTGCCCTTGTTCATTAATGTCTCTACATAATTTAATATATGTGTTTAAATCTTCATGTCTCCATGGTCTAATGACCTCTCTGCAACAACGATTTGCTTGGTCATAAGCCAGTTGTTTTATAAATGGCATTGCCTGTTCTGTATCCCCAAAAATTCTGGAAGCTGCTTGAATAAGCCTATCTACAAATTCAGCGTAAGGTTCATTAGTTCCTTGTATTACCTTAGATAATTGACCTTGTAAACCTCCATGCCCCTGTAAAGTTTTCCATGCCCTAACCGCATCTACAGCAATTTGTGCGTATACGCCAGGATCATATTCAATTTGTTGCCGTTGACCCTCATAAGGCCCTTTTCCTAACAACATATCTAGATTTCTTTGAGGGTAACCGGCTGCTGCATTTCGTCTAGCTGTCTCCCTGCAAAATTCCTCATTGGCAACCTTCCATAACAAATATTGTCCTCCATTTAGCACAGATTTACACATACTAGCCCAATCTGCTGGCGTCATGTCCAAGTTGGTAATGGATTCGACCATGCTTACAGTGAACGGTGCTTGAGGACCATAGGTTGTTACAGCCTCCTTTAACTGCTTCACTGTTTTGAAATCTAAAGCACGGTGAATTCGCTGCCCTCCTGCCTGCTCAAGTACAGGGCATGCTAATCTTTGAGGTCCTGTCTCAGGATCCCATCTATCAACTACGGGGTTTGAGGGCCACTCAGCTATCTCCATAGGGGGAGCTGTTGGTTGAATTACGCCCTCTGGTGATAGAACGGTGTTAGTAGCAGCCTCCTGTTGTAGCTTTTTCCCTAATAGCTGTTTCTCCTCTAAGCTTTCTTCCTTTAAATTTTCTTCCTCTGTCTGACTAGCTTGAGAGACCTTCTCTTTTGCTTGATCTAAAATGTCTTTCTCCATGGTCTGAACCTCTAACAATTTACTTAACACTCTTTCAGTTTGTTTTTTACTAATTTCTAATCTGTTATAAAGATAACGCAATCCAGTAAGATAACACAAAACAAAACCGAAACAGGATGAAACAAAAACGGAACAAAAAATTGTTGTATCAATTTTCCTATTTTCTTGACATGTGCATTTGTGGTCTATTTCTATCTCTTCCTCAGGGGCGAACAACTTCAAACCTTGAGCCAACCATTTTTCCCAATCTGCCTGAGAAAATTCTAGGGATAGGCAGCTTGAAACAAACACAAAACAAATCAAAACAAGAACACATTGTTTTTTAAAATGGTCGCCCATTCTCTCGCCTTCCCTTAGGGGCAAGCAATTTCACTTACCCTGAAGCTTCAGACGTTCCCCGAACGGGCCGCCAAATGCCGCAGTCTGGCTGGGCACAAATCACGAGCCACTGAAGCAGGAACAAACTTTATTTTTAAACTGCAGGAAAACACTTCACACAGCTCCCGGGGAATCCTCCCGCGCCAGGAGGCTTGTCCAGGAACCCCCAGCCGGAAATATCTCTCCCGGAAATCCCTCCTCCTGCACTTCCCCAACCAATGGGAACTCTCGGGGAATCCCCGGAAATCCCCATGAGAACTCCAAAATAGTGCGAGAACTCAAAAGTTGCGGCAGAGGCGGATAGTAATGCCTCGCCTGTCAATCAATACTGTTGGCAAAATGCCAGGGGCCATACAGACTCGGCCGTGGCTCTCAGCATTTCTTGAGTTACTGTTACCCACAGAAATGATGTATTTAAAAGTATGATACAAATAACAATGAAGCAATGAGGACAGCCTTGGTCAGCATGAATTTACTCCAAGTATCTGAGCAGTTTGAGAACAAGTAAAACCTTCTCTTAAAGACCCTCTACATCAGACTCACAGCACTCGCCCAATAGCAAAGGCATCGATTCGTCTTCTCTTGGGGTAGGTAGCAATGAAGTATGCAAAGGCTTGAGCATTCAGTGGAATAAGGACAAGAACCGCATGCTGTGGTTGGAGTGTCCTGCACAACTAAGCAGAGGAGGAGCCCATGCTGTGGAGGATGGCAGGATGGGGAAGAGCCTTCCCTTCCCAAGCTGCAGGCTGAAGCCATAGATGGGGCGTGTGCGGGGCAACCTTTGACCTCCACGGTGCACCAGCGCTGGGCCCGCTGTACCACCCACTGGTCAGGCAACCCGGAACAGGTTCTGAGGCCCCTCCCTCCGTGGCCCTGGCTTCTCAGGAGCAGCACCTGTTATTCTCTTCTCTCTGTTCTTTCAGTCCTCTGCTGGGTCCTTGCAGGACAGAAGCACATTATTTCCTCCCCCCACAGCAGATCCAGTACAGCAAACAGCCCGCCCCTCCGGGCCCGCATGCCCATCCGAGGGCCCATGCCGTCCTGTGGCAGCCATCCCAGCCCCCATACACTCCAGGATGATTCCCACCTCCACTGTCCCCAGGTGTCTGGGCAGGTCCTCTCTCTGAGGACTCCAGTAGCCGCGCCATGGTGGCCATACTTCACCTCTGTCTTCCTTCTCCTCCCTGCACCCTCCTCCTCTCCCTGATGGGGCCAGTTGGGGGGAAGTGCTCAGGCCAGCTGCTCTTTTCCCTGCATGGCCCAGGAGGACCCCGTGAAGCCCATGGCTCTGGTGTCTACAAGGCAGTGCACCCAGTTCACCCTGAGTCCAAGACCTAGACTGATGTGTCAGCAAGTCACGGCACTTGAGGCCAGAGACATCCAAGCCAAACTCCTTTTCTCCCAGGGGACCATTTCAGGGCCAGTTCACCTCCCACCCAGGGTCACTCTGCTTCACAGTGGGGCCAGCCAGGCAGTGAGCTGGTGTAAAGAGTGAATGCTAGCACCTGGCCCCTGTCCAGCAGTGTCTGGCGTACCCTGTTCTACATCCCCACTGTCACTGGGATCTGGTCCCCTGGGGCCACCCCGAACAGCATGTCTGCTGTCCAAGGGTGTGCCCCCCGAGCTCTGTCCACCCCTGCAGCAGAGACCGTGGAGGAGAGCAGGTGTGAGGATCACTGCTCCGATCAAACCCTTCTACTCTTAGGATAGAATCTGAACTTGGCGAGATTCGGGGACTGGGTTGGCCACACACTGCTCCTCTGGTGGTGTCCCTGATGTCCTTATTTGTTCCCATCTCTGGATTAGCTGTTACATTTGTCTTTCAGGATATCACACCAGGTTTGTTCCTGGCAGACTTCATCCCACTCACTACACCTCAGGACCTTTCGATTCTAACCTCTTCTCCCACCAAAGCTGAGGTATGCAACCTCCTCCTTCTCTTCCTCCTTCTTCTTCATCATCATCTTCTTCTTCCAGCTGAGCCACATCCTCAGCCCTATTCTATATATTATCTAGAGACAGAGTCTCACTGAGTTGCTTAGAGCCTCACTATGTTACTGAGGCTGGCTTTGAACTTGGGATCCCCCTGCCTCAGCTGCTGGGATTTCAGTTGTGCACTACTGTCCCTGGGAAGGCTTCCTCCTGCACAGCTTCCAGGTCACATTTGTAGTTAAGGAATTATTTGCATCAGATTTCCCTTCTCAGCTTACTCCACACACAAGAGAGACCCTGCCCATCTCATCCATTATTGCACAGCCAATATTTACAGAGAGTTCAGTTCACACACATTTGTTAAATGGATGCATGCACCTATTTGTCAAGCATATATTTTTATTGAAGGTAGGCCATGGGAAACATAGGAAGCAATTTAAATGCAAAATTAAGAACAAAAATTCAAGTTCTATGTATGAACAGCAGCCTAACAAAAGTCATAGTGTGAAATCGTAGATCTGTGTAAGCACAAACACAACCGTCAGAGCCGAACGACGACGAGGAGTACACTTCCTGTTGCGAGGATTCTCCTACTGGTGAGTGGCGTTGGCCGGCTCCATGGACAAAGGCTTCTATTGGCTCCAGTGCACAGCCGAGCTCCAGTTGTGACCCCGTGTGGGAGTGTGCGGGCCTTGGACACAGACATGCAGCTTCCTGAGAAGTGGGCACAGGTGGCAGAAGGAAAATGTCCCCTGATGAGCCTCCTGGCTGGCTAGTCAAAGGCACACTTAACGCCGGCTTGCATGACTTCAGCCAGTGTCCTCATTTATTATGGGCTCTTTTGAAAGTGACAGAAGTCTCTGTTCTGGAGCAATAGGTGGAAACCAAGACGGCCCTGGGAAAATCAGGACGCAGGGTCTCTCTGAGGAGGAAGAGGTGCTGAGGGAAGTTCAGTTCGGGGAGAAGCAACCAGCAGTCAAGACCGGAGAGGAAGAGTGAACTGTGATGGTGATCTGGAGGGAAGAGCCATGGAAAACCATCCAGGGTCTTTTTCCCAAGCTAGCTGTCATGGGCGACCCCAATCTTAATTTAAAGGGTCACTGTAAGGAAAAGGATGACCATTCCCCATGGACCCAGTTATATCTTTAGAGTTTGCTCTTGTCCAAAAATAACGAATTCCTTCTCTGTGAATTGTACACCAAGAGGTTCCTGCTTCGTGACTTCCTTGTGAGAATTTCTGAATTGCCTTACAGCAATGTTCAGGTAACATCCCGGCCACCCCACACGAGAGAATAAGGCCAGGGAAGAGCCTTGCAGCAGGTGTTAGAGTCCTGTTCCCACTCGCTAACCCTGTGTCTGGTCTAACTCTGCTGCAGGATCCTTCTCCATAAAGTGACACAGAGCCTTGTGTGTGAACAAGACCACAGCCGTGGCTCTGGAGGCGCATGGAGTTGGGCCCTGTGACAGCACTGGATACTACACACTGAGGGTTTTCTGAGACAAAGCTGCAGGGGGACCTGGGGTCATGTGTTCTTCAGAGACACTTGAAGAGGTGGAGTCAGAGAAATGTGCAAGTAAATTGGAAATGGTCTGCACTCCTGGCCAGCTGAAGAGAATTCTGATGTTGTGGCAGGGCGGGTGGGGGCTGGAGCAGGGGGCTGCTCTTGCTGAGCATGCCAGAGTTCCATCCTGGAGGAAGCGCTTTTGTGGATCCTTGCGCTGGCTAAAAAGCTGCGTGTTCACGCGCAAGGAGAGGGCAGAGGTTACTTGAATCTGGTGAACAGTATTCCATACCCTAGGTCCCATTTGATTTAAAAGTTCACCAGGTCAGTTTGGGGACTAAAAAGTGGAATCAATGTCTGCTGCCTGTGCCTGGAACTTATGCAAGTGGAGTGGTGTCTCTTCGTTTCTCTGACACGAGGTCTGGAAGTGGCTTCTGCTGCTGCAGCCAGCTACGCCAGTGCAGCTTGCCTGGGTCCCCCACCCCTGGATCACCCTATCCTTGGGTCCCTGGAGCTCCTTCTCTATACCTTCCCCGGTGGGCTTCCCACTCACTCCTGTGGTCTCAATTGTCACTTCTGTGCAGAAGGTTCAGCAACAATGTGCCTGCCCGACTTCTCCTGAGCTCTGCTCTGTGTGCTAGGACTGTTGCAGTCTCCTCCCAGAGTTAGACTGACCTTTGGCTCTGCCAGGGCCAAGCCCTCACCTCCCTGTGGCCACGCAGCACAGGGCTCCCAGCAGCCCAGGTGGGGTCTGGAGTCCACTGTGCACCCTCTCTCCGCAGCCTCCTATGTGGCGGCACCCGCTAGGAGCCAGCCTCCGCCAGCTTCCTGGAGCCCCATAGCTGTCTCTCCCCTGTGTCCCTGCCACCCCCAACTGAGGTCTCTGTCACTTTTCCTTGATGTGGTTAGAAGGCCATTCCAGTTGGCATCCCTAACCAAAGTTCCTTCTCATTCAATTCATGTCACACATTATTTTTGGAGGAACACTACCAGAAAATCTCTTTAAAAGGTTAAGCTTCCTCTCCTTTGATTCTGACCAGCTTTAAGATTAGAATCTGGCCCAATCTATGCTTTGCCTTTTTCTCTATTACCCCCTTGGCTCAAAACACGTGGCCCACGTCGAGGAGACCATGGGCATTTCCTTCTGGCATCTGCCCCTCCCCAGCGTCCCTCCTGGCCTCCAGCCCCTGAGGTGAGGTTCCTTGTCCTAAAGGACTCTTGAGATAGTCCACAAGGAGCTCTCCAGCTCCCCACGCCCATCTCTGCTTCAGAAGATGCTTCTAGAGCCTCCCTGTCCCCCTCTTGGTCAGTCCCCCTCCTGCTGACTTTCCTCAGCCTGTATTTCTAGAACATGTTGTTTTCCCTGCTGGATCAGGGATATTTTGAAGATAGACTTTATGTCTTAACTCCTTGGCCACATGCCTGTTACGATTTCTGAAGAGAGCATTTCTGCGGCTTACTTGAGACCAGCAGAGAAGCTTGCGGTAACAAAAGCAAGCGCACGAAGCATCATTTCCATCCAAGTGGGGATCTGTCAGCAGAGGGCGTGTGAAACGTCCTAGGGTGGGCAGCTGAAGTGTGTGGGCAGCATGGTGCTGTTGGAGGACTTGTAAAGTACCCACGTGGAATTACAAATTTTTCCTTAAAGTTCAGTGCACAAATTCATTTATCTCTAAATGTGCACAGATACACCCAGACTCCAGGAAGAGTACATCTCCGAATGGGATGATGTAGTGTGAAGGTTTTGCAAACCTGGAACACATACACAGAGGGAATTTATGGCTGTTAACAATAAAGTTTCTTAACATTAAGCAATCGCCTGAGAGGGAAGAATGGGGTGGGCCCTTATGTAATGTTATTTGAAGAGCAAGAACTACTCTCTTCTGGAGAAGTGGACCCTTGTGCTTAGTCTTGATTTTTTTTCTTTCTTTCTTTTTTATCTTTTCTTCCCTAACTCTGCCGCTGGGAAAGCCTAATCTTGCCAAGAGCTGTGATTTGTGTGTGAGCCGTGCATGGGCCGTGGTCCCTGCCGGCCGGAGACTGGAGCACACTGGCCTCGCCCGTTGGCAGCCTGCTCTGCGCTGCTGTTTTGGGAAGTTATCTGAGTGTTGCATGAAATTGACAAAATAAATTGTTGGGACCACTTTGTGCTTTTGTCACTGTTTAAAAAGTTGAGGTTAGTTGTTTGCTTAATACCCCAAGCTGATGAGGCGTTTCATTATCTCACCACTAATACACTCCAGAAAATGGAATCATTAGAGAACAGAAGTCATTGAAATGTAAACATGTGAATAATTTACACTTGCAACTGGTGTTAAATAAAAGGTTTTAATCTAGACCGAGATCTGACAATAAATATTCATTTCTAATTTCCAATGAGTAAACTTTATCTCTTTTAAAAGCCTTTTCATTTGAATTTTTTTTCCTCTAGAAGATAATGGCAAATTTGACACGGGCACATTTGGGAATAAAATTTCCCTCTGGTCAACACAACCATGAAAAGTTATTATGAAAATCAAAATTTGAAATAATTGCAAGCGTTGTAACAAGCGGCCATTTTAGGGTTCTCATGCTGTCACTGCGCCCACCCTCCACCCCCCTGTGGCTTGCCTTCCTGGAACGGTTTTCCTGGGGGACGTGACAGAGACGCGGGGGAAAGGAATTGGCTCTCGCAGTGGGCTGGACGCTTGCCAGGCTGGAGAAGCCCAGAGAGGGCTGCCTTTTCCTTTACCAGCCAGGGTCCTCGTGGGCCTGACAGAGGACCCAGGGTGGCTAAGAGGGACACTATCAGCCATGCAGGGCTTCACGATGCCCAGGGGGCGGG